TAAACTCTCTGATGCAGCAGACTATGTTTGACATTTGGGATCTCCTTCTATCTGAGATGGAGGATACTATTGCAGAGGGGTTCAGGGGTCACAGGTAGCTGCCATATGCTCACTGGATTACTTTCTTGATCCATAGGGCAGTTACTGTGAGGTCAACTGAGATACTGGCAGAGTACAGTGGTGCTACTATAGAGTTCCCTGCATACAACATGACTCAGATGATCCGCCATAGTGCAGCAAGGACACCCAGCTAGCCGCACCGTCGTCCAGAGGTGCCAGAGACTGCTGCCCAGCAGGATGAGACCATTAGGGGCATAGCAGCTACAGAGGAGGAGCAGCTTGATGCTCAGCAGGAGGGGATGGTCGAGAGTGACCCCAGCGATAGCTCAGATGATGACTATCGGGATATCCCTCAGATGCCTCCATGATGACAAGACCTTGAGGCCGGTAGCTCCAGTTTAGCTCCACCTGCACCACAGACAGACCCCGCTCTACTTGCCATACTTGAGTGGATGAGGCAGGATCAGGCTTGCCAGGCTCAGGAGACAGCTGCCACATTTGCATAGTTTCAGACTCGATAGGATGAGTTCCAGCGACAGCAACAGGCGATCCAGCAGCAGCAGCAACAGGCCATGCATCAGTAGCAGCTTCTCATGTAGCAGCAGCTACTTGGGTTTATGCAGCATGTTGTGACAGCTATTGGGGCTCCACCGCCACAGCCTTCACCCCAGCTTGGTCAGCCTGCCACCACTTCTATGACTCCAACTATACAACCTAGTGGGCTTCAAAGTCAGGGACAGCCAGCGCCTCAGTTTGCTTCACCTACAGAGCAGGTGTCCTAGTGGTTTGCTTTGCCAGTGCTAGCTCCGCAGTTCACACCTCTTCAGACGGGCTTCACACCGGCTCAGACTTCCTCGCTGCTTGTGCCAGATACCTCAGTTTCCAGGAGCCTTGGTGCTTCATTCAGTGAGTTGATAGGGCACCCTACACCGCCAGATCTACTTGCCCCTATACCTACCACCATTGCTCCAGTGACAGGCACGACAGAGACACTTCCTTCCTCGGTTGCTTCATCAGAGCCGCCTACTACAGTCATACATACAGAGTCACAGGCCGCACCAGTTCCTGATTCGACCCTGACCGCTTCAGCATCACTTCCTACGATAGAGGGTCATATAGCTCAGAGCTCATGATCAGATGATGATGGCACACAGTTCTAGCTCGCTCCTCGCACCTCAGCGCTCGACTCATCCGCTGCAACCCCGTCGACCGACCCTTAGGTTTTGGTGTTTGACGCCAAAGGGGGAGAGGGATCGAGTATGTTAGATTTAGGGGGAGCGACTTATATAGGGGGAGTTTAGCTTATCTATTATATTTGGTTTTTATGTGTGATACACTATTATGCATTCATGTGTTTACTTTCATGCATCGAACTATATCTATGTGATAGTGATATCAATGTGATCTTGATATTTGACATGTGTGCTCTCTACTTTGAATTATTTATGTCATATCACTTGTGTTATGCTCATTTGCTTTGCTTCCGCGTTTTACTCCGATGCAAATGAGCTTTATTACTTGTACTCATGCTTATTTCATATCTTTGGAGTACATTATGTTGGCTTGGGTCATATAAGCTTGACTAACTCTTTTGTACTTATTGCTAAAAGCTTATATGAACCAAGCATGTTAAAAACCTCATCTCTTTCACATACTCGAGGTGGTATTGTCATCAATCACCAAAAAGAGAGAGATTGAAAGCATCTAGGCCCCTAGTTGGGTTTCGGTGATTCATGACAATACGTGATTACTGTGACTAACGTGTGTTTTGCAGAGACAATTAAGTTAGGTCACGGTAATGGAGATCGATTGGGCTATCATGGTGGTCATGCCCCTACGATGGAAATCGTTTTAGTTTTCAAAGGATGGACGACAAGGTTAAGGATGGATTAGTTCTAAGTGTTATTTAGTGTTGAAGAGACACTTAGAGTAGTTTAGGACTTTGTTTTTCCTTTGACCGTACTATTAAGGGGGGTATGAATGGGTAGCTTGACCTAGGTGAGTCTAGTGGGTTAGGTGTGGTGCACACTTGCTAAAACTAGCGCTAGATAACTCCTAAAAAGCCCTTAGATCCATTGGAGCAAACTTTATTCACGTATGATTGAGAGTTGGAAGTGAATAGAGGGTCAAATACTGACCGGACGCTGGTTCCGGTGTGACCGGACGCTGGTGCAGAGTCCGGTCAGTTCATTTGATCAAGGTGAAATCGTCTGGTACGACCGGACGCTGAGAGATAAAGTGACCGGACGCTGAGAGCCAGCGTCCGGTCAACTCCAGTAAGGTTCCAGAGAGGGAAAATCACGACCGGACACGTCCGGTCAACATGACCGGAGCGTCCGGTCACCCCGCAGAGGCACATAACGGTTGGTTTTTCAACCAAGGTTATAAATACTTCCTCTATTCATGTGAGGGGGTACTTTTGCTCATTCCAACAGCTAAGAAACACCTTTGAGAGTGCCAAGAAGAGCAAGGTCCTAGTGAGGTAATTGAGATTTGAGAATCCCAAATAGAGCCTTCATTAGTGAAAGCAAGAGTAGCAAAGTGTGCATCCACCCTTCTCATTAGGCTTGTCGTGGTCAAGTGAGAGTTTGTGCTTGTTACTCTTGGTGATTGCCATCACCTAGATGGCTTGGTGGTGATTGGGAGCTTGGTGATCATCCGGCGGAGCTTGTGGATGACCCAACTCAAGTTGTGAGCGGTTGTGGGTGATTCACCGCGACGGAGTGTCGAAGAATCAACCCGTAGAGAGCACTTGATCCTTGCGCGGATCAAGGGGGAGCTACACCCTTACGCGGGTGCTCCAACGAGGACTAGTGAGGAGTGGCGACTCTCCGATACCTCGGCAAAACATCGCCGCGTTCCTCTTTCTCTCTTTACTTTAAGCATTTATTTTGAGCAATTCAATTCTTGTCATTTACATTCATAGAATTGTCATGCTAGAGTAGGATTGGAACATAGGTTGCTAAACTTTTGTGCGATAGATCAATAGAAATACTTTCTAGGCACAAGGGGTTAATTCGGCTAACCGTAGGGTTTTATTATTACGAAGAAATTTAGAATTAGTCCAATTCAACCTCCCTCTTGGGCATCTTGATCCTTTCATCCTCCAAGTGTTAGCTTGCTCTAATTGGATTGATCACCCTTCATCCATTTCCAAGCCTTACTCACCATCTTGGTGTGGACCTAACCTAGCTTGATCAGTACTTACCAAAAGGTTAGTCCATTATTTATCTCAATTACCAAAATCAAACTAGGAGCTTTCATCATCCCCGTCCTCTTCTCGTCCCAACATCTCCTAACTCGCTCTCCCTCCCTCTCTTCGGTGGCCTGCGCGTTTGGACCCTAAGTTGTCATAGACTAAGTGATGCTGACATATGCGGTGGCAGTCGAGTGGTAGATGTGTACTTACTTAATTCTTAGTGTTTGGCACTAGCCTAGGTTATGCAGTACAATATCCCCAAGGGTTCAGAACCAACTATTGGCGTTCATTAACACACTTGTAGCCCCATATTCTCTCTTTCGCATGAATCATTCCATGTCCTTAATTATATGCCATAACCTTGATGTTTGTTTTCTGTTTTCGCTTTTGGCCTATGTTGTATATTTGCATAGAAATGACCCTCAAAGTTGAGTGATTTTGCAAATCCCATCTATATATAAGCCAAATCCTAGGAAAGATGAAGCATAGAAGACTTCATAGGGACTAAGTCCATCGACATTGGATGCCCAAGCCAGCCCTCTATGTTGTCCACATTCAATCAACCTTGAGCTAGGATTACTTAAGCATGAAAAATACAAAGATTTGGGAAGTTTACCATGAAATCAAGTCAAGAATGAAAAATAGAGTGAATCTTATCTGTTGACTCATTCTGGGATATGAAAAAGGGCCACATGCAAGTGATCAAGAAAGAGGACAAAAGGAATGGGGATGCACTCAATGTCGGGGAGAGGTTGTTGATAAGGAATCCAAAGTTGAAGGTTGTGAGGGAGGATGACAACAATAGGGATGGAGTCGCCATGGAGGAGGAGGAGGTCACTAGCAACGAGGACATCACCATGAGCCATGAAGGAGTTGGCCACCATGGAGAAGGAGGTAATGGGAGAGGAAGTCATTGAAGAGGCCAGTGCAGTGGAGGAGGTCGCCAACGAGGAGTACATCATTGTGATGAAATTGTTGTAGGTCACTTGGGAGGAGTTTGGCATGGAGGATGAGGACTTCATTGAGGATGAAGTCGTCCAAGAGGACAAAGGGTGCCAAGGAGATCTGGCAGTCAAACTCAAAATTTGGCTAAACCTACTCTCCATCTTTTAACATTGGGAGTGATGACTAAGCCTACGGTCAAGCTTAGTCATAGCTCCTAATGTTTGATAATTAATCTTGCTAGTACCTAGTGCAGATTTTCTACTTCAGTTCTGCACCCCAAACAATAATCTACAGAAGATAATAATCATCTGAACACTCTCAGCTCACACTGTCCACATAGTCATATACAGAGCGTCCCATCGGACTACCAATCAGGAGACTGTAGGTATGGATGGGTCACTCAATCATGGTGACAGACTGATAGGAGTTGCCGCTGTCAGCCTGTCATGATTCATGAACAGAGTGCGTGACACACACGCCATAAACGTGCCACTAAACAATACGAACAATGAGATAGTATGTCAAGACTCAAGTTACCAAATTAAATAATGTATGGCATGCATTCATGATAGAAGAAGTCCCAAAAAAAAAGAATTACAAAAAGATCGTAAAAATTATGGACAAGCCACCTCGAGACATCCAAGTCACGACAGCCCAACCACCCTGCAAGCTTTTGATAATTTCTTCACCTCCTGATGGGCAGGGAGTTCTCTGCATCTGTACTCGGCTCCATCTCCATACAGCTCTCTCATATACTCCTTCCAGTTCCGTTCATCTTCTCAAAGGCACAACAAAGATGGAGGCCCTCCATGACCTCATTCTTGCGCTCAAGAATGTCCCCGTTTGGTCAGTCCTACTCATAGCTCCACTGATCTGGTACCTGCTTGTTCATGGCGAGAGGAAGAGGAAGGAGAAGGCCATCCGTTTGCCTCCGAGCCCACCGAGGCTGCCTGTCATAGGGCACCTCCACCTGATGGTGAAGGAGCCCCATCGCACACTGCAGAGGCTGGCACACAGGATGGGCCCAGTCATCTACCTCCAGCTCGGCGGCGTTCCGGCCGTCGTGGTGTCGTCGCCGGAGGCGGCCAAGGAGGTGCTGAAGACTCTTGATGTGCACTGTTGCAACCGGCCGTCTTCACCAGGCAATCTATCTATAATTCTATATACGTTTTCTCCACGTCTTTTACTACCTATAAACAAGTTTTCAGACATGATGATTCTGCTCGCGTATTCCTAATATCCAAGTTCGGAGTAAACAAGAAAAAGAAATTTCTTATTGTAAATGAAATATTTTTTAGTTGTTGCAAATTGTGCGCAGTTCTTCCAACCACTAGATCTTTACCACTAATAACACACTATAATTATACAGAATTTGAACTTGGCATTTGGCAACCCTCTAGTTATCTGACATTTAAACAGAGAGTTTTTAACATAGCTACTACACTGTTTATTTTTCTTGTGCATACACGAATAATTAAGCTTTTTATTCGCATCACGTTTTTCAGGGTCAAAGATGCTGACCTACAATTATCGGGACATCGCGTTCTCACCGTACAGTGAAAGGTGGCGCGAGAGGCGCAAACTCTTCATTTCCGAGCTCGTAGGCAGCAAACGCGTGCAATCCTTCTCGCACGCATTGGAAGAACAAGTGGAGCAACTCATCCAATCGCTCTCATGTCTGCCGCCGTCGACGACGGAGCCCGTCAACCTCAACGAGAAGATTTTCGAGCTCATCGATGGCTTCATTGGCACGGTGGCGTTCGGCAGGATGAGCGGCGCAAAGCTCCTCAAATACGACAAGTTTCAGCAGGTATTCAGTGAGGCCCTGGTTGTCCTCTCCGCCTTCTCTGCTCAAGACTTCTTCCCGGCATCGCCAATTAGCCAGTGGATTGATAAGATTGCTGGACTTGAGGCACGGTACCGGACCATATTCCGTGAGCTAGATGCATATTTTGAGACTGTTCTGAGACAGCATCAGAATGTGAACCCAGGAAGGGTTCAGGTTCAGTCTGACAAGGATAACCTTGTGGATGTGCTCATCGGTCTTTGGAAGGGGCAAGGGAAGGGGCAAGCAGTGACCAAAGATGACCTCAAGGCTATCATTATGGTAATTTTTGCTAAGTAAAGCAAGCTATATATATATACTTAAGTTCTTCATTTACAGGCCATATATATGTGTGTCAGTTGATGTTGATTTTTTTTTCATTTTGCAGGATGCATTTATCGGCAGCACATCTACAAGCTCAGTGACGTTGTTATGGGCAATGTCAGAGATAATCAAGAGCCCACGGGTGATGAGGAAGGTCCAGTCTGAGATAAGGAGTTCAGTCAGTGGCAAGCCAAGGGTAGAGGTTAGTGACACTCCACAGCTCAAGTACCTTAGGATGGTCATCAAGGAGACGCTACGACTGCACCCACCTGCACCGTTCCTCATCCCAAGGGAGACCATGCAACACATACAACTCCTCGGCTACGATTTGCCGCCCAGGACAAGGATCTTCGTCAACGTGTGGGCTATAGGAAGGGACCCTGCCTGCTGGAAGAATCCTGAGGAGTTTTGCCCTGAGAGATTTGAAGATGCCGACATCGATTTTCAGGGGACAGATTTTGAGCTGCTTCCGTTTGGCGCTGGACGCAGGATCTGCCCTGCCATTCCTATGGGTCTTATGAATGTGGAGTTTACACTTGCAAGCTTGCTTCATTCTTTCGATTGGAGATTGCCTGAGGGTATGGCACCTCAAGATGTGAGCATGGAAGGTACCGGTAGACAAATTGTCTCCAGGAGCACTCCACTGTATCTTATCCCGACTCCGTACATAAGTGGATAAACCAAGTTATATTGACTGGACTGTAGGTCTGCTGGCTGCTGATATTTGATCGTATATATATAAGATAAGATGATTGCATAATTTGAATAAGTTCAGTCATGTAATGTTGAGAATGGTTGTTATGGACATCTTGAAAATCAACTCCAGGGATCATTATGATATCACGGTATAGTATTCGCAGCATGGTTGTTTGTCGTTTGTTTAGTGGTAATCCCCGTTTCTATTTTTCTTTTGCCTTCTATAAGCACTGTGCTTGCTTGGATGTGTGTGTGGTTGCACATTCCTTTCTCCCATTAGGGCTTGTTCAGTTAGCTCTAATCTGAAGAGATTGGTGGGATTTTATCCTCTATAAGTCAGATTCCGGAATAACGAGGGATACTTTCGAATAATTACTAAGTTCAAGTCGTTTCCATGACTCGGCCGAGTGGGTTACACGGGTCTATCAAGTGATGTGTCACTAAGGTTGCTACAATTCCTTCCGGAGGCATCATAGCTAACATGGTTACTCAGCTAAGGTACATTTACTCAGCAACCAAATCATGGGTAGACACCAAAATTTACATGGATCGGAGAGCCCTTGTGAGAAAAAACTATAGGCGATGATGATCAGTAAGCAATCTACTATGAAGATGAAAGATACATGAGGTGAGAGCCAATAAAGTTAGGGAGGCTCCAAATTCCCTCTGATTTACTCTCTTCAATCCGTAGCTTTGTCCCCCTAAAAAACAAGACAAGCAATGACATTGAAGAGGAGTTCAGGCTCCTTTAGGGCTTGGTTTTTTCACTTTTGAGATCCCCCTTCAAGTTATAGAGCATTGCAAAAAAAAAAAAAACACTAGCACAGATAACTTAATGGAGGCGGGCTTAGTACAAAAAAATAGCACTAGTACAAAAAAAAATTGCTTACTATATGCTAAGAACCCTTTTGTACCATATATTAGCCAAAATAATGCATTAATGTTGAAATAAGGACTATGATACATCCAAATTGTTTGCAATGCTAACTTATAGTACCACACTTCTGAATTCCTTTGAAGAGCACGCATTTAATTTATTGCGCGCGTGTACGCTTTGGAAGAAAGAAAAAGTGCACTTTAGTTCCCAAAATTTTGCAAAATTTTTCAAGATTCTCCGTCACATCGAATCTTTGGACGCATGCATGAAGCATTAAATATAAATAAAAAATAAAACTAATTACACAGTTTAGACAAAATTCACGAGACGAATCTTTTAAGCCTAATTAGACTATGATTGAACATTAATTGCCAAATAATAACGAAAGTGCTACAGTACCACTTTTCCAAAAAAAACGTCAACTAAACGAGGCCAAAATATCTGAAGTAGTATATTGGAACTGAATATATTAAGAGAATAATGTGCGTAGTCTGTCATCCTCCAATGCAGTTATACTCTCTTAATAGGCACAAGACAAAGAGGCACCATCTTCCTAAAAGCAAGCTGCCCTGTTTCTTCCATATCGATGTCCTCCTCCTTCATCCCTTCAGGGAGCTGCCAATCAAAGCAATGTAACAGATTAGCCAGGGCAAGCTCCACATTAGCGACACCCATGGCGATGGCAGGGCATGACCTCCGTCCTGAACCGAACGGGAGGAGCTCAAAGTTGGAGCCTCTGAAGTCAACATGGCTGCCCTCGAACCTCTCGGGAATGAACTCCTCGGGGCGATCCCAGATGCTAGGATCTCTTCCCATCGCCCAAACATTCACGAAGATTCTTGTGCCCGGCATCACGTCGTAGCCGCCGATCACGCAGCTCGTCATGGTCTCCCTTGGAATCAACAAGGTCCCTGGTGGGTGTATCCTGAAGTTCTCTTTCACCACCATCTTGAGGTAGCTGAGCTTCTTGACATCTTCTTCGTCCACTCTTGGTTTGTTTCCCACCAAGCCGCGCACCTCGGCTTGCGCTTTCCGCATGACCCTAGGGTTCCTCATCAGCTCGGCCATGATCCAGATCATCGTGACAGCACAAGTGTCGATGCCACCTGAAAATGTGTCCTGAGGTTTACACCAAATACTTTGTATAGTCAATGTTTCTGTAATAGTACTATATATACTACTATAGCACAGTAATTATATTTGATCATATATAGTATAATTAAAGTACCATGAGGATTCCCTTGATGTGATCACGCGTTAATCCATGAGCGTCGTCACCATCCGCCTGCTCCTCCCTCCACATCTTCACGAGCGCGTCGACCATGTCCTCCTGCACGCCGACCTGCAGCCTCTCGGGCTCGAGGTGCTTAGCGATGACCGAGTCGAAGAAACGGTCGATCTGGCGGAAGAGGCGCCGCCTCCGGGCGGCAGCTCCGGTGAGGACGTCGGCGAGCCGGGCGAGCTTCGACGCCGGGAAGAAGTCCTCGAACGTGAAGCTCCCCAGCACCCGCAGCGTCTCGTCCATCACCCGCTGGAAGCTGCTCCGCTCGAACTGCGCCGACCCGTACATCTTGCCGAACGCCACCGTGCCGACGACGCCGTCGGAGAGCGCGTACAGCTTATCGCTGAGGTCGACGGCGGCGCCCGGAGGGGAGCTGGTGGCGAGGGAGGAGACGAGGCGGTCCACCTCGGCGGCCCGGGCGTAGGCGAAGGACTGGACGCGCCGCATGCTGAGGAGCTCCAGGATGAAGAGCTTCCGCATCTCGCGCCAGTAGTCGCTGTAGGGGCTGAAGGCCACGTCCAGGAAGTCGTAGCTCAGCATCCTCGGACCTGATGAACATCACATAATTAATATGCAGCCAGTGATACTGCTTTGGAATTTGGATTATCATAAATGCTGTGTAAAAGGCGTCCGATCGTCGGCACCCTCCCGTTCGCGGGCTGGGGCGGCCATATCTTCTCCAACACTCGTTCTTTATAGGGCTTCCAATACTCAGATGCTTTCGTTCCGCAACACCGTGACTGCACCCTGCCGTAACGTCTCAGAGTTCTCCACGACATCTGAGTGCCTGCCCGCTGGCATGTCCACCACGCCCGAGCATGGCCACCTGCCTTCATCTCTGTCGTGCCTCTAGCCCATCGTGGCCGCCCGCCATCCTCCATCTCCGTCGCGCCTCTAGGCCGCTGTGGCCGCCCACCTTCCTCCATCTCTGCCGTGCCCCCCGTCCATCGCGGCCTTCTCCAGCGTGCGGACGGAGGCTTCCAACACTCAGACGCTTTCGTTGCGCAACACCATGACTGCACTCCGCCGTAACGCCTCAGCGTTCTCCACGACATCTGAGTGCCCGCCCGCTGGCATGTCCACCACGCCCGAGCGCGGCTGCTTGCCTTCCTCCATCTCCGTCGTGCCTCTAGCCCATCGTGGCCGCTCGCCGTCCTCCATCTCCGTCGCGCCTCTAGGCCGCCGCGGCCGCCCACCTTCCTCCATCTCTGCCGCGCCCCCCACCCATCGTGGCCTTCCCCACCGGAGTGGCGAGCTCCGTGCCACCGGCAAGCTCTACACGGTGAACTCCGCACGCCGACGAGCCTCCATTCCCAAGCAGCAAGGAGATGTTGCGCTGAAAGCGCAAGTTGCAAACATATGTTTCAGGTGTTTCAGATGTTTCAGAGGTATGTTGCAAGTATTTTGTATCGATGTTATAAAGATAGATCGGGATATTGTACATGTTGTAATGACTATGGACGTACGTTTTAAGTGTATGTTCCAAATGTTTCATCTCATATTGCAAGCGTATGTTTCAAGTGTTTCAGGTGCTTCATACGTCTATTGCAAGTGTTTCATCTAGATATTGCATATATTTGCAATGGGTTTTAAGTGTTTTCGCAAGTGTTTCAGACACATTTTTCAATTGTTTCATCTGTCTTCTTTTGTATGTTGCAACTGTTGCATCTAAATGTTTCAAAAATAGAACAGGTGTTGCACATGTGATGCGTGTGGGAAACGGCTAGCAGTGCTGGCGACGTCCCAAGCGGCGCGGGCCCGCTGCTAAAGGCTCGCTCGCAAGCAGCCTGACGCGTTGGGATGCTCACTCATTCGCTGAGCATGTATCATCCGACGCTAGCATATCAGACGTCCAAGCGCTCGCAAGTCTACTCCTACTTATTATGGAGTTTACTATAGTCCGAATTATTTTATTAGTCGTGAATGGTATATAACATACAAAAACAAATGAGCGATAAGATTATAAAAAAATGTATATATTATATGTTGGACGCCACAATTTTTCAGCTCAAGGTTCTAGTAGTTGCCTTTCTTTTTCCTTTTCTTATTATCCCTTCTTTGTATTGGTCCACTTCGCCTTCACGGAACGTAGCGTTAGCATTACTCTTCTTATATAATTCACAACAAAATATCAGCCGTTACGAAGATAGTGGAGACGTGAAGTGATGACAAAAAGAAAAGGACAAGTTTGATGCTACGGAGACTTGGAATCTGTCAGAGCTTTCAGTGTACATGAAAAAAAAATAGGGCCCTATTTGGGAGTTATGTAAATGTATTCACTGGCAATTGTCTTCCGGTTGTAATTTGTAGTGCACAACAAAACCCCTGAAAAACTTTTCTCTCTATAAACTATTGTTTGGATGCTTTGTAAATAAAACCAACCTGTACTTCACTCGTGTATCCAATAAAAAAAATGCTCTCAAATTTTATAGGCATTTCAGAGGAATCAAAACAGAGAGGGAGGGGATGAGCAGGGTGACATGCGTCACCGGCTGCGGTGTGCCTCTGTCAGACTAGAACTAGAACTGACCAGATATGAACTCAAGTCAGAAATTTCTGAACTCAAAATCGTAGAAACAAAAAAAAAAGGAGAAATCAATCTATTCATTCCTATTCTGAAACGAACCCAGCCTCATTAATCTAGCACCAAGATATACAGATGTCCCACATATGCAGGTGAGAAAGGGAGGAAGGCAAAGATCAGCACCGTGAATCATGACCAAATTCATCTGATTGGTCTGAGCATCAAGCTGCATCTCGTAAGAGCATCAGCAGGGCCGCTCAAGAAAGGGTGGATCTCGGAAGAGCACCAACATGGCCGCGCGAAAAAGGGCAGCATCTCGGAGGACCAGCGCAGGCCGCGCGAGAAAGGATGGAGGAGAGGAGCGCGACGGCCATTGCGGAACGGCGGCGGAGGAAGAAGGTGAGGCTGCGCCCACGCGAGAAAGCACGGAGAGGAGTGCGGCGGGCGGTGCGGAACGGCCGCAGAGGAAGAAGGTGAGGCGTGAGCGGACAACTCGAGCCCGATATCCGTCGGATAAAAAGTGTGGGCTGAGCAGGTCTGTCTATTTCCTCTAAAACTATGTTTATCGATTCTTAAAAAAGTTTTAGAAGAAAAAAAAAAGTTGATCTTCAATGGTTCCTAATATTTAACTTTAAAAAATCAAATGCTGGTTCTATTTAACGTTTTTTTTGTAGTATTCTTTTTTTCCACGCGAACCTCTTCGTCGCCAAGCGTATCCACGCCGCCGCCGCCTGCTGCTGCTCTTTCTCCCTTCGCTCCTACTCTTCCGCTGCGGCACGCCGCCGCCGCCACCTCCCAATCCCAGCGCCGCGGTGTACCCTGTCGTAATGGTGCCGGGAAACACCTGCAGCCAGCTCGAGGCGCGCCTCACGGGCGCGTACGAGCCGCCCCTGGAGTCGCTGCAATGCGGCGCGGGGAGCAACGAGCGCGGCCGGTGGTTAAGGCATTGCGAGTGGATATTCTTCGAATTTGCATGTTATTTGCATAAACTCGCTCTCCTACTCGGTGTCAGCCATCAGACCCACACTCACTAGAGTCCAAATTCGTCCGAAATGAGACGGAATAGGCAATTTTTACAAACAAATTCAGAACATAGTGTTGTTGTGAGCTATACCTATCGAGCATAGACATGACGTAGAGGAAGTGCAGGCCGGCGCCGACGGCCAGGGTGATGCCCCAGAAGAAGTGCTTCCCCCAGAAGAAGCTCAGGACGCTGACGACGGCGAGGTAGGCCGTGAGGCAGTGCACGGCGGTCCGCATGACCACCTTGCCGCCGTCCTTCCTCCAGGCCGTCGTCGCGAGCCACGCCCACGCGAGCGCGGCCCCGACGGCGCTCGCGGCACCGTAGTACTTCCAGTACGTCTCGGTGAGCTCGGACGCCGGCACGGAGGGGTCCTTGGAGCGGTAGACGGAGGCTCGTCGAGGCGCTGCAGCAGGTGGGGTACCACGACGAGACGTTGTTCGGCGCGCCGTACGACTTCCGTGAGGCTCCAAGCGTCCTAAGTCCTAAAAGATTATGAGTTACGCGGAAGGGGGAGGAATTTCCCAAGTCCTAAAAGATTATGAGTAAATATTAGGAGTTGTTGGAGAGGGTTTTTTCTCATCTTTCTAAAAAACAAGGATTAGAAAGATGTTTAGGGAACTGTTGGAGATGCTCTTAGTCCCTGTTTGGTTACCCCTCCTAAAAACTTTAGGAGCTAAAATCTGGATAAAATTTGTCTAAAGAACCAAACACCCTCTCCTAAAAGCTCCTAAAAACTTTAGAAGGGATAAAAAACTTTAGGAGCTCCACCCCCTTCTAAAACCTCCTAGAGTCCTTCTTGGACCCCCACTACCCCTCATTTATTGCCCCCCCTCTCCCTCCCTCCCGCGCCTCCATCCTGCGCTCCCTTCTCCCTCCATCCTGGCGGCGGCGGGCCTCTTGCGGCCCCTACCCTCCACCGACGGCGGCGGCGCCCCTTCCCGGCGGCTCCTCACCCTCGCCCAGCAGCGGGCCCTCTCCCCCATGGATCTCAAGCATGGGAAGCAGGTGGCGGCGCTCCCTCCCTCGGCGCATCCAGCCATGATGGCCCTCCCCAATCCCATTGATGCGGTGGTGATGGGCCCCCTCCGGTGTCCCACGGCGGCGCGCTGCTCCCTCCCTCCACGCCGGCGCCCGCGCCATCCCCCGCCGGATCCGCCGCCCCCGCTCCCTCGTGCCGTCGCACGGGCCGGCCGCGACGCCCCGCTTCTCCTCGGCGCCGGCTGCTCCCCCAATCCGGCTGCCGCTCGATCCGCCATCGACGGCGGCTTCTGCGACCAAGAACCGCTTCTGGGCGGGCATTGGGTCTGCCGCGAGCGGGGTCGCGTGGAGCGGCGGTGAGGTGGAGAGGCCGGGTGGGGCTCCCATGCGGGGACCTACAGGCGGGCGTTGCTGCGCTGGGGGCGGGGATGGTTGGCACGTGGGTCTCACTCGGCGACCGCGGAGCAAAGAGGAGAAGCGGCGCGGCGTGGAGAAGCGGCGCTGGCGAGGAAGAGCTTTTTGCTCGCAGGGGTAGCAGGGGTAGGAGGAAGAAGGGTAAAAGTGTCTTTGTTCAACAACATTTATCGCTTTTAGTCAGTTTTAGAAGGTGCAACCAAACACTCTTTTAGGAGATTTTAGAAGGCTGCCTAATACTTTTAGGAACTAAAATTTAGGAGCTCGGAACCAAACAGAGCCTTAGCAATTCAGCTATTGAAACATCCGATAATAACTCATATAACAACAAAAAAAAAAGATTAATGTAACAAAGAAATATTACTTGTTGCAACGTCGGAACAAAGGCTACTGTCAACATCAAATTCATTCAGCTGCAACATTGAAGTGTTGCCTTCACGAAGTCAGCCGACGAGGAAGAAGGATACCCCCATGGCAACACCAATGCCCATCTCAAAATCAACCATTGAAACATGCAAAATAAAACGTTGAAACATCACAAAATCCTATAGAGAGGGTCAAGCAAAAATCAGAATAGAAATCTCAGAAAAATGAACAAAATCCACTGCACAATAAGAGAAACAAATACACGAAACATCTGAACTTTACCGTTGTCACGTCCATCATGAGCGGAAGAGTCAAGTGGTCCACGATGGTAGCGAGGGGCTTGGGTGGCGGCAGCAGCGAAGTAGTAGAGGAAGAGTGGCGATAGGCGGGTGTGCGAGGGGGAAGGTGGCTAAGCAGGGGCATGTGCGGCACTGAGCAGAGAGGACTGCGTCCCCGACGCCGGCGGCAAGCTCGCTCCGAGGAGAGACGGCCGCAGGTGATGACGAGGCTGTGCGGCGTGCGGGAGGCAGCTGCGAGCGCCGTCGCGGATGGCGATGAGGCAGCGCGGCGTGGGGAGGAAGTTGAGAGGGACAAGCGCCACCACAGAGAAAGAGAGAGGGAGATGAATGAGATGAACGGCTTGGGGAGGAAGAGTAGACGCGTGGGTGGCAAGGCATTTTTTTTTAGGGAGGGGGTGCATAGGCCATGGGCGTGCAGGACTATTTGTGCTCGTGTCGGACGTAAGACACGTGGCATTACCGTTGTCTCTAGAATTAATATTTAGATGTGTGACTAGAAACACAGATGCTGACTAAAATTATAAACGCTCCTAAAAATGATTTCAGGAGAGGTTCGGTTGATGGAGCTCCGAGAAAATAAAACGCCTCTAAAACGTTTCAGTGCTAGTAGCCACCACTCTGTTTCCTAAACGTCCGCAAAGGAACGTACGTAGTAGGGTATCTTGTTCAGGTTACATAAAGTCATAAACAAGACATAAAGGAACAGTGTAGCCAAAAACTGGATCCGGAGCACATTAATTAAATTAGTGTCACTAGTGGTGTGGAACATAAACGAGATTGCACAGGATTAAAGCTACTTGCCTGGTGAGTTGGGGCGACTGCAGCAGTGCAGGTCGTTGGTCCGGAGGACCTCCTTGGCGGCGTCCGGCGAGGAGACGACGACCGTGCGCACGCGGCCGAGCTGCACCTCCACGACGGGGCCGTACCTCTTCGCGACCGCCTGGAAGTAGCGGTGCGGCCGGCTGCCGATCTGGAGCAGGTTGCCCAGCACCGGCAGCTGCTTCGGGGGCCCCGGGGGAGCACGCCTTCCTTCTGCTGCTGCTCCTTGCTCTCTCCGCCTGGACAGCAGGCAGAGGAGAGGGAGGAGGAGGAGTGGCACCACCACCACCACCACCACCAGCTGGAGGAGAAGAGGCCGTCCTATCGCTAGCTCATGTGAGCGAGGCTGCGCGTCCATGGCGCTCTCTGTTTCCGTGCTGAACCCGATTAGCGTGCCCGTGCCGGATTTTGCTTATATATTGTGGTATCACTGATTGAATGGCGGCTGCTACCTCATGACGCACCAGGCATGGACGTACAACATGACGCACCAGCTGGCATGGACAGAAGATGGGATGATGATCTGAACTTTTCAAGAACCGGAGAATAGTCAGTCTGAAGAAACTGGATCCTTCCTGCTGGATTTCAGTGCAACGTTGATGGGCAGGAAACTGATGCACGGAAACGCCAATGGTGCTCAAGTCTATCGATCGATACAGGGGAAATTCATAGTCTAATATTAAGCCCGGGCGTTTCCTGGTGCAGCAAACGAAGAAAAAGATACAGCGATCTAAGCACGTGGTTCCTCGTGCTATCTTCAACAATAACACATAAAATATAAGACTCATTTTTCTTTTGGATAGCGCTACAGACAAAAGTTTCAATACATATTCGATATCTTCTCCAACAACAAGACCCAAAAGAAAATTCTTTCTGCAAATGATTTCCAGAGAGATGATATCTATATTTAGGTTGTGTCTCTCAGGCAACCCAAAATAGGTCTTCCGTGAGATTGATTTTGAGTCTCTTACTATCCATTTTGAATTTATGTGTCCATATAAGTTTTTTTTTTGTTGGAGACAGTTTCAGCCAGATAATGTTTTGTTTTTCCTTTACTTTATTCACTAGGACCTGCTGGAGTGCTTTCCTTACATGGACACAGATTGGCCAAATCAATCAATCATAAACAAACAAAACAGGGTCCCATGAGAGCGAGACCTATAAACAGGGCTTCATGTAAAAATAACAATATATTACTCTCTCCTCTCTAAATTAGAAATTGTTCTATCTTTTCTAAATACATATATTTTATATGTACATAGAAACAATAGAATGACTTATAGTTTAGATCAAGGTCCTATACTTATATTTTGAAACAGAGAGAGTACTACATAGTACATCACCTTTTTCAAAGTATAAAGATTAGAATATGTCTTTCAAAAGGGGGCCTGCCTGCCGAGGTGGTGCCTGCGCCACCCGGACGTCTCCCGCGCCGCCCGACCACACACGGGCGCCCGCTCGGCGACGCCCCAACAGCTACAACAGGTGACTGTGGCAGGTGGGTCCCATTCAAATGTGCAACATCTGATCTACTTTTATAATATTCAGATGAAACAATTGTAACATACTTTTGAAATAGCTGAAACACTTGTAGTATATGTCTGAAATACTTGCAAAACACCAGAAAAACTTGTAGCCATTGTAAAACATTGCAACATCCAGATGAAAACACTTGCAACATATGTATGAAAAACACCTAAAAACACTTGCATATATATACAACATCCAGATCTACTTTTACAACATTCAGATGAAAGACTTGCAACATATGTCTGAAACAGATGAAACATTACGAACATACACTTAAAACATTCGTGCATAGCTATTGCAACATGTACAACATCTCGATCCACTTTTGTAATATCCAAAAAATCACTTGCAACATACCTCTAAAACATCTGAAATATTTGAAAATACACTTGCAACATGCAACGTATCCTGATGCAGCCTCCTCCGCCGTGTGCATTGGGGAGCCACAACCGTAGCAAGAGTGCGAGGCCGGCACTTCTCCTTGCGCTGGAGACACCTGTTGACGTCGTTGGGGCACAAGCACGCACGCGGCGGCCTCGGTGGCTAGCTGGTGGCCGAGGAAACGATCCCCACGCGTGGGCACGGCGGTGCCCACACCGTCAAGCGGGATGAGTGGCGAAGCAGGAGCAGCCGCAAGGGAGCTCCAGCGGACGTGGGGGCTTGAGTGGTGGAGGTGGCAACGGTTGAGTTTTGGGGAATAAGAGGAAGGGAACGCGTGGACGATGGATGGAGCATAGCAGGGGAGGTCTCCTTTTCTTATCCTTGTCCGGCCGGCGCAACGGAAGTGAGGGACGTGGGCATGATAATAATATAAAAAAACGTGAGACCTATTGGGTTGGTTCGTAGGCGGTGTGGTGCTGTCTGCACACAGCATTGTTTATGCCATAGCTCTAATATGTACATGCATGTGTCATGTGCAGGCGCAAGTGTCGTAGGCGCGGCAACAAAGACCGCGGGGCAACCATCGCGGCGCATCGTGGCTAGAAGCCCTGCACACGATGCATAGAATAGTTGACAGCTGTGTAGATTCGTAGCTAAAGTGTCAACTGTTTTGGAAGTACTCGACAAAAAAGAATAAAATAACATGTGAGCCACTCCATGTTGAGGTGGGAAAACTGCAAATTACCTCTGTAATCTGTGTGAACAAAATGATGCAGCGCTCGGGAGTCGGACCGTACCGTGCCCTCTCCATATTAACCATCGTTGGCTTTGGTGCTAGTTTAGTGGTTGATCTTGATTTTTTTAGAGAAAACATCCCTGGTTTGAAACCAACGAGCCGAATAGTTGAAAAGCAGCGGTCAGCATCTACTGTAATCACAAAATCACAAAAGGAATAAAAAGGGACAATGAACGGTATGAAGAACGATCGAATATGGGTGTTTGGTGAAATTGCAGCCAATTAATTATAGGCCTCGTTTAGATTGGGGTTAGGAATTGGTATTTGGCACTGTAGCACTTTCGTTTGTATTTGATAAATATTGTCCAATTATGGCCTAACTAGACTCAAAAGATTCGTCTCGTAATTTATAATCAAACTGTGTAAGGGCAGTCTCAATGGTGCATTGATGATGGTTTCTATCCTCATTAAATGACTTGCCACGTAGGCAAAATGCTGACATGGTAACGTAATTAATGAAGAAAGAGAGCAAAAATCATAGAAATTGTTTCCTCATGAAGAAATCAGGTCTACTCTTGACCCAATGCACCAAGAAACCATGAAATCGCCATTGGGGAGAAACCACCAGTTTCTAGGGAGCTCGTGTCGCACTCTCTCATTGGAGGAAGATAGAGTTGAGAGAGAGAAAGAGAAAATAATTATTACTCATAGAAACCATGGGTTGGAAAGCAGTACTTTTTTTGATGTTGTGTCCTATGTTATAGAAACTACTGGTTTCTTTCATTGGGACTGCCCTAATTAGTTTTTTTATCTACATTTAATACTCCATGCATGTGTCAAAGATTTAATGTGATGAAGAGAGAGTGAAAAAACTTACGATCTAAACAAGGTCATAATAAATAAATTAATAATAAGCGTCCTATAAAGAGGATTAGCCAAGGTGAACCGAGACAGTTGTCAAGTGAAGGCCCAAGCTCTCGAACGAGGCGTTGTGGTCACCGATTTCCTCCGTTGCCCGGCCGACGAAGCGGAGCAACCGGAACGGCTTCTCCGGCGGCGCTCCTCCTGCACCCAGCATTGACCGGCAATACGCAAAGAGCGCAGCCACTGCGCACTGGCTCCCAAACTCCTTTGTAACCACACGGCCATCGACGAGTCGGACCCTCACCTTGCAGACCTTCTCCTCCACCGACTCCGGCTGCTGACCCGTGCAAGGTGCCACGGCCGGCTCTGTCACCGTCGTCGGTGCCTGTCCTTCTCGAGTCTGGCGTGTAGACGCCATCGCCACCGCAGCCATGACGACGGCATCAGGCTGTTTTCTCGTCACCGTCGTCGTCGGTGCCTGTTCTTGTCGACTCCCTGCGGCACGTTCGGAACTCGTCGGAGCGGTAGTCATCGTCGACGTCGTTGCAGGTCTTGTGTTGCTCTGATCGCCGGCTGATGCACTGATGGTGGACTTCTTGGCCGCCATGACGACATGAATGGTCGGCTTCGTCTCCGTGAAGGGTCCCAGGCGCACCATGAAGTCGTTGAGCTCGCAGGCGGCGCTGCCGTGCAGCACGTCCATGGCCTGGCCCGTGACCGGGTCGACGACCACCACGACAGGGAGCTGGTCGTGCGGGATGTTGTAGTACCCGAGCACCTTCTTGGCCTCCTCCTCGCCGTCGTCCGCGGCGGCGTCGGCGTCGGCCTGCCAGAGCACGAAGCGGTCCCTGACGCACCGGGCCACCAGGGCGTTCCCCACACGTCGCGGTTCTGGTGCAGCGACGGCAGCGGCAGCTCCTCGGAGCTCTGCACGTTCGCCAGCAGCCACCGCGCCCGCCGCGCCGCGTGCACCTTCGCGGCGTGGAACCCGCCCTTGAACGTCAGCGAGCGCGGTACCTTGAACAGCTCCTCGAACGTCCTGTTCCGCGGCGCCGGCCGGGCCGCCTCTTCCAACTCCTCCAGCATGTTGTTGTTGTCGTCGTCGTCGTCAGAGGAGACGACGATGACATCCTCACGGAAGCGGTGGTGGCTGTTGTTGTCATCGTCGGCTTTCTTCGTCTCGCCTTCAGAAGTGGGCTCTGCGGGATTGAGCCGCCGCCGGCGGCGGCTGTTAGTTTCCTCATCGTCCTCCTCGCCATCAGAGAAGATATCTTCACGGAATTCACGGAAGCGCCGGCGACGGCTGCGGTTGCCATCCGCCTCCCTGGCCTCCCTGTCACCACCAGGGGTGCCGCCGCTGCCACTTTCACGGGACCGGTTGCCGCGGCAGCGGCGGCGGCGTTCACGACGGCGGCTGCTCCTGCTCCTCCCAACGACGACTCTGGTATCGCTGTCCCATCTAGATACCCTGCTGGTACGGCGGGCTGGGACGACCGGCCGAGCGCGCAACGCATCCTCCGACTCCGACGACGACTCGGAAACGGAAACCGGCGGCGGCGGCGGTGGGGAACGAGAACGACTACCGGTCCCGGACGGTCCAGCGTCGATGGAGAAGAAGCGATTGGCAGCATTGCCGATGTGCCCGCCGCAGCTGGCGAGGCGGTCGAAGGCGTCCTCGCGGCCGCACCCGGTGGCCTCCATGAAGGCGGCTACGAGGGCTTTGTCCTCCGTATCTGAGAACGAAGCGGCAAACGTGGCGGATCGGATCGATCGGAGCGGCACGGGAAAGCGGCGTGGCTCTTGTCCTTTTCATGGCTCTATTACCCATACATCTATATTTTGAAAATAATATAAAAGAGTTTTATCCTTCATAAAACTCTCTCTATTTTCATAAAACCCTTATCATCTTTCTTCATCAATACGATGCCACATTAACCTATTTAATGCCTATAAAACTTTGATAAAACCCCACTGAGACTGGCTTGTAGAACCCTACGTATGCACAAACCGTCAAACCGAGTCGGCTCCGAGTCCAACTCCTGACTTGCTCCGATCCACATCACCGACCTTTCTGATATATACTCAGCTCCGTAGATATATGTACTGTAGATATTGCTCATTTACTCATCCTCGTCGATTGTTTCGGTTAATATTTTCCCGGTATCCTCAACCTCTTCCGAGATGATGTCCTGTTTTGGATCCACATCCGTCAGTCCCATAATAAAAATATACTCAATCCATCCTAAATTGTAAGACGTTTGATTTTTTTGACACCAAGTTTGACCAATCGTCTTATTCAAAAATTTATGTAAAATATCACTTCTTTCGTCGTGGTTTGGTTTATTAATAAAAATTCTTCAAGAATGACTTAAATTTGACTATATTTGTATTTTTTTTTGAATAAGACGAGTGATCAAACTTGGGGCAAAAAAAATCAAACATCTTACAATTTGGGATGGAGTAGTAATATTTATTTGCGGAGAGTCAAAGAAAATTTGACCAATCTATATAAAAGCAATAATAATTATGAAACCTAATAAATACCATTAGATTAATATATAGAATATATTTTCATATAGTAAATTGGAGTCACCGTAGCATTGCAGTTGATGACATATGTTGCATGGTCTGGCATCTCTATTGAGACACCGCTATCGTCGCTTTGTCCAAGGAGTCTGAGGGTGTGTTTGGGGGAGATAGCGGTCCATGAAAAAACGGTGTTTGGTTTGCGGGTGTGCTAAATATGAATATCCCTAGGGAATATTCTCTCAAATGTCATGGATGGACATATCCCATCCATTCTTGGCTTTAAACTAAATGCACCCTGAGAGAATTTGACATGTTAAGATTAGACAAGAATGAGGTGGTTGTGTGCTACCACAAGAAGTCAGAGGTCGACTACTCGACTAGGCTACTGAGCGCAAGGACATGCTCCCTAAAGATGGCAACAGGTAAAATTCGCGCGGATACTAGCCCTAGATATCCATACCATGAGCAAAAATTGTAGCGCTGCGCTGCGTTAACGTTAACACGGGTAGAAAACCATGCCCGTGCCCGCTATCCATGGATATCACATGCCAGCGGGCACACCCAGATATACCGCAAAAATGAAGCAACAAAGCACCCAACCATATCTTAATAGCAAGTAAGAAACAATATATCAAAAAATAAACGTCTATATCTCAACATTAGATAAAGTATGACACATTGACCATACAAGAATCATCAAAAGTCTACATTAGTGTATCTCAAGTCATCACAAATTAACACGAATAAAGACATACAACCGTATATAGACTTATAGGGTCATTGGCGCGGGTCTAGCGGGTTTGCGGGTGCGGATATCATTTTTCCATGCCCACGAGCAAATATCCATCGGGTTTAGAATCACACCCATGCCCGTGTCCGTGGGCACAAACTTAAACCCATATCCATGCCCATCGGGTTTTCTATCCGCGGGCACACGGATATTTTATGCCCGTTGCCATCTTTAATGCTCCCTCTTTGTACCCGCCGACAAGTAGGTCCGGTTCAAAAATGCCGATGAAGTAACAAAAGCTATTGCTAAACACCTCGCATTTTTCTATTGCAGCTCCTCTCAAAAAAGCCATCCAATATATCAAATATATATAGGAGAAAATATGCATTCACCCCAATTTGAATATGAGAGCACAATTTTAGCTCAACTTTTTGTGACTGTGTTTAGGAAAAATAAATAGTTATATTTATTGCTGGTTCTAAGCCAAATGCTATGTGAACAATGCTCCAAACAAATTGTGCTACATGACACTCAAAAATCAAATGTTGGATGATTTTGTTATTGTTATAAAAACAACATTTCTCATCACCCCTCTGATTTTGTTTTAGAATTAAGGTTATCTTTTTTTTAAGGGACCTCCTTAGTAAAAACCAAACAATTATAAGTGACTTTTAAAAGGTGGTTTTAATGTCCATAGGGCTTTATTTAGAGGTGTAGCACTATGAATTTTTAATGAATGTTTGTAGAGCTGACTCTGTTACCTCGTGAATTTGTATTAGGTAGTTCAAAGTCAAGATGCACCGAACTCGCAACAGAATGATGGAATAGCGGGGCAGCACAGGCATGGAACCACGAAGGAGACTGGCACGACACAAAATTTGAGCATACCTATTGTCCGGTCCCAGTAACTACAGATTTAAAAGAAATCAAACGGTTCTTTTAGCCTTGAGTGATTAAATCACTTGAATGAAATCCCAAACATGCTCCAATCATTTAATATGTCCAAAATTAGGTACATGGAGTAATATTGTCATGATTTTAAGGTTTGAAGGGGAAATGTCTAGTACTCTGTTCTCCTATATTCGGATCAGTTGACTATGAAAAAATTTCTTCTAAACTTTGCCTATGTTGAGAAAACCCTATTGTTGGGCTCGATTTACTCAAACCAACATTTTCAATGAACAAGGTTTTTTCTCTCTCTATTTACAAGTTTTTTTTTGAGACGACTCTATTTATAAGTTTTTTTTAATTTAAAATTTTGTATGATAATATCAGACACCATAATTAATGTTAAAAGGGCACATCATAATCTATAATTATTTCGCTAAGGTAGGACATACAATAGAAAAAATAACGCTAACAATTCAAAATGCAGAGTTTTACAACCTGCTCGATTGCACTTAACAACCAGTGCAGCCGCAGCCGAGTTGAACAAGTGCATCCGAGTAGGCCCTCAACTTAGATTATGACGTCCAGTTCAAAAAAAAAAAACTTAAATTATGATGTCTTGTTATTATTGAAATAACTCTAGAGTTTGTTTTTTTTTCATTTTTTTCCTTGAGTCCACCCCGTCTCTCTTTTCTCCTTAAAAAAAACAAAGTTGTATTGCGTCCATTCTTACTACGGAGTTCAAGACTTCCGGTAATGTCCGCCGCGGCGGCGCTCTCACCAGGGCCGCCACCGCCATGTCCCGCCGCCACCGTCCATTCCCTCCTCGCCTCCCTATCCGACCCGTCCGCCCTCCGCCTCCTCCCTGCCCCACTCCTTGCCTTCTCCCAACGCCGCCGCCTCCTGCCGCCCGCCGCCGCCACCGGACTCCTCCTCCGCCCCATCGCCTCGCTCCTCCACCTCCACCGCTCCGACCTCCGCGTCGGCCTCCAGCTCCACGCGCTCTCCCTCTCCCTCGGCCTCTCCCGCTACTCGCTCCTCCTTCCCCGCCTCCTCTCCTTCTACTCGCACCACCCGTCGCTGCTCCCCGCCGCCTCGTCGCTCGCCGCCGGCTCCACGTGCCCCGAACCCTACAATGTCCTCATCTCCGCCTGCCTCAGCCACGGCCTCCCGCGCCACGCGCTCGCCGCGTACCAGGAGATGATCGACAGGGACGCCGTTCCCCCCGATGCCTTCACTTACCCCAAAGTGCTCCGTGCCTGCGCCGAGACCGCGAACCTCGCCCTCGGGCGGGCGGTGCACGTGACGCCGGCATGGACGGGGACCTGTTTTGCCAGAACGCGCTGGTGTCCATGTACGCTAAGTGTGGGGACCTCGCGGCTGCGCGCAGGGTGTTCGACGGAATGGAGCATAGGGATGTGGTGTCGTGGAACTCGATGATCTCTGGCTACGCTGCATCTGGGCAGTGGAGAGAGGCAGTAGAGCTATTTCGCCGGATGCAGGCCGAGGGTGCAGAGGTGAACTCAGTGACATGGAACACGATTGCTGGTGGTTACATTCAGATGTGTGATTACAGGGCAGCAGTTGGGTTAATTCGGGATATGCTGAGAGGTGGTGCAAGCATTGATTTTGTGACTTTGGTGATTGGATCAAACGCATGCTCACGGGCAGGATGGTTGAGGCTTGGGATGGAGATACATGGGTTGGCAGTCCGAATGCAATGTCACGAAATCGACAGCGTGATCAATGCAGTGATCACGATGTATGCCAGGTGCAACGATATGGAGCGTGCTCTCATGCTGTTCAGAATGATGAGATGCCCAGGTCTGGTAGCATGGAACACAATGATAGCTGGTTTTGCACTGTCGGATGATGCAGAAGCAGCATCTAGGCTTTTCCGAGAAATGGTATGCAGTGATGTGCAACCAAATTATGTTACTGTTGTCACCTATCTTGCACTCTGTGCCCGTGTTGCTAACCTGCAACATGGGCGGGAACTTCACACGCACATTATTAAGCAAGGATTCAAAGGGTATCGTTTGCTGTGGAACTCTCTTATAGATATGTACTCAAAATCAGGGAGGTTTTCAGTGGCTCAAAATGTATTTGATACTATGGATGACCGTGACATGATATCCTTCACTTCGATGATAGCAGGATATGGAATGCAAGGAAAAGGAGTTGTTTGTCTGCACTTTTTCAAACAGATGATTGACAGTGGGATCATGCCAGATGCCATCATCATGGTTACTGTACTCTCTGCTTGTAGCCACTCTGGGCTTGTGGCTGAAGGGGAAGAGCTTTTTGACAAGATGGTGAGGTCATATGGTATAAAGCCCCAGATGGAACACTATTCTTGCATGGTTGATCTATATGCTCGTGCTGGATTATTGGAAAAGGCAGAGGAATTGCTCAACCAGACTCCCTTCCCTCCAACATCAACAATGGTGGCAGCATTAGTAGGAGCTTGCCATGAGCAAGGTAACATAATAATTGGTGAAAGGTCAGCAAGGAGGCTCTTGGAGATGAAGACAGAGAACGCTGGGCACTATGTTCTGATTGCTAACATGTATGCAGCTGCAGGTTTCTGGAATGAGCTAGCAACAGTCAGAAAACTGATGAGAGATCTGGGTGTCATGAAAGCACCTGGGTTAGCATGGGCTGATCTTGGTAACGGGTTCACCCCTTTTCTGGTTGGGGATAGGTCCAACCCTCTAGCTCCAGAAATCTATGAGGTTTTGGAAGAACTAACTGAACAAATGAGGAATATGAATAATTGCAGTGATCTGGACATACTATCCATGGAGGGACTCATGGGGTAAAGTGGTAATGGTAGGACAAGAAGGACAGATTGAGGCTTTGATGTAAAATGGAGTTCATTAATACACTGTAGATGAGATTTCACCGCAAAGGTATTGAAGGGAAAAGGTGATGTGCTTCAAAAAGCAGGTCCTGCAAGTGCTACTGTGCGAGAAGATGGGCTGCTCAACATACACCAAATAACACAGAATTTTAACTGCCACATCTATTGCCATGATTGGCCTTAGCAAATCGTCACATTTATTGCCTTGATTGGCAAATCAGTGACCTTGAGTTGCAATTCGTCACATTTATTGCCTTGATTGGCAATGGCAAAGCCATACTTTGATATGTTTTCCTGACCATGACAAGTTTCCTAACGAGGGTGTTACGTTTCCTGGCAAGTGATGATTGTACATGTCACTAACACCACACATATATTGGAGCTACTGCCTAATTGGCTTCCTTTGATCAGCTGTAAACCCTGGTTACCCAATTTTGGGCAACCATCATTATTCCCAGGCTTACCTTCACTAAAATGTTTCTTCAGAGTGGTAACCTCTTCTCTGTGGTGACCCTTTGCACTAAATTCAATCCTTGAATCTTGATGGTAATTGATCACCAAGTAAAGTTTGGAGTTTTTTTAATGTGAACTGTTAAATAGAAGGATTGCTATTATCATTCTTTGTTATACAGTTGTACCTTGAGTTACAAAACCAGATGGACATTGCTATTCATTCTTCACATGCCACATGTTTCCTGCCTGAAAGTTTGCGCTATACTTTACTAAACCCAAACAAATAAAAGCATTTTTGGCAAAGATTAACTCCAGGTTGACTTGATACTGAATAGCTCAACCTTTGTCACATACCTCTGATCAAGTACCTGGAATCGTGTAGAGTTCCAGGTTTTGTCATTCATCTTATGTGAGGAAGGCTGATGTATTCAATGCAAACCATATAAATAGGAGTTATTCAGCAGTAAACAATCTCAAATCCAACTCAGTAAAATTTTCTGCTAAATCATCTGATGCTACAACTGGTAGCCTGTTGATGATGCTTTGTTAGCAAGAAAAAGGATTTGGCTACTTTGTAAATAAAGGATGTGAATTACTTCTATTAGTGCAGGTTCATGGTGTAAACAGGCAGGCAGAAATTGGAATTAAGCCTTCTAAATTACTCCAGTTAGTTTGATTTTTTTTTCTCAGTTAAACTTATGTTCACATCAGGGATTTTAGTCTGCAGGTTTATTGTACTAATTTGGTTGTTGGTAATGCAAAACTATTTGTTATGGTGTACTGTTACCAATTCTCATTGTCAGTGTGTTACAATCGTGCTCAAATTGATGAAGGTGAAATTAACTGAAAGATTCTCGTGGCTCTTCCCGACGGCACAGGATAGTTTTTGCTCTTCTACATGAGAAGAAGCTTGATAACATGAAGCCTGACGAGGTTGTGAGCAAGATTCAGGCTCATGAAATGTTAATGTTTGAGGGAGATGGAGTCTTCAACCAAAAATCTTGCTTTCACGGTTGACCCCGGAAAGAAGAGGAAGAGGTCATCCCATTTTCTTCAAGAGCTCAAGTGAAGAAGCATCAAGTGCATATTGACTTCCACTCTGAATATTTCTGACTACTTGTTTGTCGTGGATGTGAATTTCTAGTAGATGCATTTTTCCTTGGTGAGCAAAATTGCATTTTTTGCGTATAAATGAGTGGTGTTATGAAGTTTGTATTCCGCTCCCTCAAGTTTATACGATGTTTATATTTCACTCCCCTCAAGTGTTGTGGGAGCCCAGAGCCCCTAAGGCCTGTTTGGTTGGATCGTGGCTTTTGAATATTTTTCCAACCTAGAACTGTGTTCTTGGAGTTGGAGGATGCTTCGAACAATTAATACTGATGGTGGTAGATAGGATTACAGAAGGAAAACATTTCCGAATTTCTTCAATCCCACCAATTGCCATTATCTGTGTGTAGCTACAGAAAGTTTTTTTTTTTTACGCTACAGCGAGGCCTTTAACGGGTCGAAATGAATGCAACAGAAAAGCTGATTAAACTTTTTTTTTCAATTTAACGGGTTGCTGATGGGCCGTGAATCGTGATCGATGCGAATTGCAGCATTTATTTCTAGAAAACTATACTACGACCCCCGAAAGTTTTCGAAATTCGAATCAGCCCTGACCCCTCCTTGGTTTTCCCTTTTCCTTCTTTCCCCAGCCCCACACTCCCCAGAAGAGAACCCTAAACCCCCATCCCAAACCTCGACGCCGGCGATCTCCGCCGCCACCGCCATGTTCGGGACCCCATCTACCACTCCCGTCTTTGGGAACCCTCCACCACCCCGGTTTTTGGCACGCCTTCCACCACCCCCTCATTTGGCGCGGCGTCGTCCACCCCGGCCTTCGGCACCCCCTCGTCGACGCCCGCCTTCGGGACCCCGTCGTCGACGCCAGCGTTCGGGACCGCTTCCACGACCCCCGCGTTCGGGGCATCGTCGTCGGCGCCAGCATTCGGGACCGCTTCCACGAGCTCGGCGTTCGGCTCGCTCAACTTCGGGACACCCTCGTCGACCTCAGCATTCGGCATGCCCTCTTCGGCGCCGGCGTTCGGCGGGCTGAATTTCGGGACGCCCTCGTCGACCTCGGCATTCGGCACGCCCTCTTCGGCGCCGGCGTTCGGCGCGGCTCCTTCGCCCTCGCCCTTTGGGTTCCAGCAGCAGGCGACGCCGTCCCCGTCGCCGTTTGGCTTGCTAGGAGGTGGCGGCGCGCAAATCACCACCCAGATGGCCCCCGTTGCTCCGCTGCCGCTCTCCCCGTCCGACCGCGACATCCAGGTATGCAACGATGGAATCCCTCTCAGATTCGTCTTGAATGTTGAGGAGCAAGTGCTAAATGAATGTTCTGTTTCCGCGTGAGTTCAGGCCATTGTCGATGCGTACAAGGAGGACCCCGGTAACCCCCGTTATGCTTTCAGGGTGAGATTTCTTCTGTTTTCCTTTGTGGTGCACTAGATTTGGGTTGATGCGACTTGGTTGATCTGTTTCTGTCTGTTTTGATCTGGGCAGCATCTGTTGTTCAGCGTGACAGAGCCTTCCCAAAGGGTGAAGCCAGTTGCTGCATCAGATGTAAGCACCTGTATATAAATTTGTGTAAATAATTTGCTATCTTCTGTTTTGTTGAACTTTCCTTTGATAACATTGCATTTCCTGTGACTTCTACTTTGTGGCAGATTATTTGGGCAGAAGCAATGGGGAAACTTGAATGCATGGATAGTGCAGATAGGGAGAGGCTCTGGCCTCAGCTTGTGCAGGGTTTTAAAGACCTTTCCCATCGCCTTAAGGTATAATGTTGGAATTTATGCCCTTTTAGGATTTACGATTTGATGGAATCATGTAAATTTAAAATTTGATGGAATTTATGCCTTTTAGGCATACATTAGGTAACATTGATTCTCAGAGGTGCTGGATTTCGTTGTCAAGCTGAACCAATTCCCATATGCATGTTGAAAGCACTTAGAGTAGACTTTGTGGCAGATTTGGGGTAATTGGGCAATGCAAGAACAAATGCATTTCTTTGAACCTTTTAGACTTTGTGATTTGAATTAAGAAAAATGATATTTGTAATGTATCACTGCAACAATGGATTTGTAAAGTTTATGACATATGGTTTAGATAATTATAACATCTTTACTGAGGAAATGTTCTTTGTTAAGCGTGTGGATATACTGTTAGGCATACATTCGGAAACATTGGTTCTCAGAGGTGCTGGATTTCCTTGTCAAGGTGAACCAATTCCCATGTGCATGTTTGAAAGCACTTAAGAGTAGACTTTGTGGTGGATTTGGGTTAATTGGGCAATGCAAGAACAAATGCATTTCTTTGAACCTTTTAGACTTTGTAATTTGAATTATGAAAAATGATATTTGTAATATATCACTGCAACAATGGATTTGTAAAGTTTATGACATATGGTTTACATAATTATAACATCTTTACTGAGGAAATGTTCTTTGTTAAGCATTTGGATATAGGAAAACAACAAAATGACATTCTACAAAAAAAAGTTGCATTGTATATTCTGGAAAGCAGAAGTCAGAATCTAATACAGTTGAAGTTGGAAGAAAAATCCAAGGAAGCAGAATTGACAGTAGTTTTTGTTTAATTCTTTGGTTATGTCGGCTGTTGCCTAGTGTCACCTAGAAAAGGCAGGGTTGACCTTCAGTGAAAGAAAAGGACCTAGAACAGGCTAAGCTAGTTGTTAAAGACAAAGAACACATTCTTTTACCTTCCCTATATATGTGGTCATTGTTTTTTGAGGCGCTGCGGCGACGCGCGGCGCCGTACCCCCTTCACAACGCCTAGGCGTTTATGGCGGACGCCTAGGCGACACCATATGATCATCTTAATATATAATGATACTAAAATTCATAAGCAAATCATACCTTAATATTGCCAAGTCTTAGCATGTAATACCATAATAAATAATGCTACCAGAGTGCTAGTGCACAACGTAAAGTAGCAAAATAGCAAATCTGAAATCTCTCATCACTCAATAGCCACAAATTAGTCTCTAATAACATAATATAACTTAATGACTAGTGCTGCAGGGAAAGAAACAGAGGAAGAGGGAAAGAAACAGAGGAAGAGAAAGCAGAGGAGAGAAAGGAGGAGAGGAGGGAAGAGAGAGAGAGGAGGGCTGCAGGGCTGCAGAGGGGACCAGAGAGGAGGCAGGGAGCATACGAGGCGGACGGGTATACGGTCGACGGAGGCGGGCGAGCAGGTGCGGACGGGCAGGAGCTACAGGTGCGGTGCGGATGGACCCCTGGTGGACTTGAGCAGCCAGGAGGAGATGCAGGGGCGGACTCGCGGGAGGTGTGCGCCGCTGGTGGACTCGAGCAAGGAGCAGCAAGCCTCCGCCTCTGCCTCTGCCTCTGCCGCCAAGAAGCAGGGCCGCCGCCGCCTCTTTTCCTCTCCTCTCTCCGTGAAGCTGCAGCGGCCCGCACCTGTGGTAAAAGCCCTCGAGCGGGAGGTTTGCCACGCAACAGCATATATGCGGTCGATTCCCGCCCTTTTCCTTCTAGCGCGGACGCAACGCGGTCGATTCCCACCAGTTTTCATTGCGTCCGCTCGATTCCCCGCCCGATTCCGTCTTCCTCTCGACTTGCTGCTCCGGCGTCCGCCACAGGCCTCTAGGCACTCGCCCGACGGCTTTCCACGCATAATCGACGCCTAATCTCATATGGCGGACGCCATACACGCACGCATGCCGTGGCGACCCCGACGCCCAGCACCCTGGGCACGCCTTGTCGCCTAGGCGATGTCTAGGCGACGCCTCAAAAACAATGCATGTGGTCCATGTCTCCATTCATCTGAATCTCCAATAATTTTGGCTGAAGTGATGCATTACATTTACATACTGGGCTTATTGGTTTTGTTAGAACTTGAACCAAGAAGGAAATCAGATTATTAGCTTGTAGCCTAAATTTTAAAAAAGGAAAAAAATCAGCCTTGGCATTTTTATACATTTCTATATACATGGTTTACTGTATTTGTGCCACTAATTGATTGTTCACCTCATTTTATTCCAAATTTAGTTATTTGTCTCGGTATGAAGTTATAAACATCTGAATTGATAATGATAATAATAGTCTAATAACAGAAGTAAAAAGAATAATTGCTCTTTCCAATTTATTGACAGTAAAAAGACTTCATGGCCAGTGATGTTTTCTATGCTATAGCAATTTGTTTTCAATCTTTACGTTCTCATTCAATTACAGGATCACATTGGCCACACCTGTCTGCTCTCCATGGCCTAGTGATCATTCAATTCTCCCACATGTTGATTAAGCAGTTAAAGTGAAAGCTGCACATTTGCACTAGATATTTATTTCCCTGCTGGATAGAACTATATGTCTTCATGTATATTGATGGCATATATTTAAGTCTTGAATTAGTCATATTTGTCTCACTCTCTGTAATGCTCTGGGTGAAGCATGCGCCACTTTCTTGTATTTTGGTGCGAAAAGAAGTAAAAGATACCTTGATATTTTCAGCTTTTTCATTTAACTTTGTAACCTTTTTCCGTAGTTCTGATGGTATTATCTTTGCCATTTTCCCACTTTCTACAAGGTTTGGTAGCTTTGAAATTATTCAAGCCTTAGTACTTGTTCTTTTCCTTTGCAGCTTCAAGATGAAGTCCTTGTTTCAGATACTGATAGATTGAGCATGACTCACTCTAATGTTAAAAAGGTATGGCTTCATATGGAAGTTTTCATATGCGCTTCCATTACTCACTCATGACTAACATATTTTTCTATTACAGCTGCAAAGGCATTTCCAAGCTGACACATATCCATGGATCCAGCGATTGAAGCAACAAAAGCTGGTTATTCAGAGACGTCTTTTAAGGGTGATATTTTCTCTCCATTGTTTCCAAATAGAAGCTTGGTGGTGATAGTTCAGTTTTCGTGCCTAATAGCCCACGCATCTAACTCTTATTTTTGTTGGTTTGTGAACTGCCAAAAGTTTGTTAGAATAGTGGAGGCGTTGGAGAATCGGGGTTACCGCAGTCCTTTAACAAAGGAGGAAGCTGACTTGTATGAAAGATTGGTTGCTATATTAAAGCGGGTTAGGTTTCCCCCCATCCGTTATTCCTACTTCTTGGCCGATTAAGGATTCTCATCAATTTTAGTGTCTTGTTTGCAGCTAAAAGGACCTAGTGCTGATCTGTCTAAGAGGGTTAATACACTTCTTTCGACGACACGTCTTCTGGCTAGCACTGGTGGTGCTGGTGGTTCTGTTTATATTCCTAGTTCGGCCAAAGTTGATGAACGGAGTGTTACAGAGCTTCTTGAGGTAAGTGGTGCAGTTTTTTATCCTTGTCCTTGTTAGATAGCCAGTTCTTGTGTCAAGCTGATTTGTAATTGCCTACATCACAGGCCTTACAACTACAAACAGAGGCAGTTGCCAAGCTAGGTAATGTGTTGAAGAGGGATATCAGGGACCTGGAGATCATCCAGTCAGAAGACACGGATATGGCTGAAGACTGTGTGGGGAGAAGGGCACAGAAAATATAAGATCGAGGCAAGGTCTTTGTCGAAGCTAGTAATAAGCAGAGGATGATGGTAGGTATCCAGCATCGTTAGAAGGATCCGAGCGATGGTAGGTATCCAGCATCGTTAGAAGGATCCGAGCGATGGTAGGTATCCAGCATCGTTAGAAGGATCCAACTGATTTGGAGCATTGGCTAGACGAATGACGTCCCTGTGTAACTGCTGCAGGCAAGCTTGACTGTGCATTCTTTCGGAAGCTAACCATGGTCAGGTAGTAGTGGTATGCCCGTATGTGTAGATTGTGTTGAACTGAGGCGTTATTCTTAGAACTCAGCTTTCTCCTCGCGCCAACTACATTTTCAGTCCAGTTTTGTTGCTCACCGTGATCCTGATGAGCTGTTGTAACCCCTGTTTCCATGATCATGACTGGATGTAATGCTTGTAAAATACATTTCGGATTTTGTACATCAATCTTGGCTGTAGGCCGCCTTGCATATGCTAGGTTCTTGCTCCTTGTCCTTAACGTTGCATTTAAATTTTCAGATATGCGAGCATTAGAATGAAATGTGGTGGCGTTTGCGTCATTAGTAATATAATTCTATATATCCCAAAAAAGCTTCGCAAATGTATGTATATATACTCACTAGTATAATTCTATATATCCCAAAAAAGCTTCGCAAATGTATGTATATATACTCACTAGGAAAAAAATAAATAAACTATAGCTGTTAAGTGGTATGTGGCCAACAATCAGAAATGAGCTCAACAACCCCATAGAGAGTCCAGACCAGTGGAAGGAGCCACCTGAGTCAGTGTATGCATCTCCCGGGCACCCGCCAGGAGAATCCCTGCGCGTTGCCGGCTTTGGCGCGCGCCCTGTAGGTCTTCCAGTCCTGGAGCACGTTCTTGAGGTCGAAGAGCTTGTTGTCCAGGCCGATGCAGCAGTTGGCGTGCATGGTGGCCACCCTGCCCAGGTCGTTGCCGTGCTGGCAGAAGCCCCCGAAGACGGCCGTGTCGAGGAACTGCACCCGGGCGCCGGCGTAGCCTTCCTTGACGATCTTGTCGAAGACGTACTGCTCGTGGTGGCCCGGGAACCTCGCCCGCGACGCCTGCCAGTGCCGGTAGAACCCCACCGTGGCCGGCGACGAGCGGACGTAGAGGAGCCCCCCGTTGGGGTAGTTGTGGGGCGAGTCAGCGTCGCCGACGAAGAAGTCGGACGACATGACGACCTGCGCCCCCACCGGCAGGCGCGGGAACGGGGTCCGGAACCACAGGATGTCCACGTCCGTGAACAGGAAGCTGTAGCCCAGCTCCAGCACGCTCTGCTGCAGCCGGTTCCGGCGCCACATCATCTCCAGGTAGTCCCCCTTCATGTACTTCTGCTCCGCCGCGAAGTCCATGCCGTCGTCGGCGCGGAACCAGTAGCAGAACCGGTGCACGGCGTTGCACCGGTGGAAGGCCTTCCCGTCCATGGCCACGATCAGCAGGTGCCCCGGCAGCTCCGCGGTGTCCTCGCCGTGCCGGAAGCTCTCCAGGAACAGGTCCAGGAACGAACCTGGCGCTGCCCACGCCTCGTTGATCGCCGTCATCAGCACCGTCCTGTCCGCCGTCGCCGCTCGCCGGAGCAGGTCCGCCAGATCCTGGGACGGTGATGGTGGGCTCTTCTGCTGCTGCTGCTGCTGTCCATGGTGAGTGGTGGGGAACATAATATCATCATGATCGAGTTACGTACTAAACATCACTCGGAACGCAATGAATAATCCGAGACAAGATGAGTAAATTCTGAAGCAAGCAAACAAGCGTTCTGATTGATCAATGCTAGTTCACTTGTTACTCTTCGATCTTTGACCAATTGTTAGGTGGTTAATGATAAGAACTAATTGGAGTGACTGGCCCTTAACATTAACTAGAAATTGTGCACACTAATCATATCACTAACGGACAGAATCGTCCTTCAGGTGCTGGCCATGTTAGGTTTGGTGCAGCCGTTTCAAATTCAATTGATATATGAACATGTTGGCTCTTTTTTTTCGCGAAAGATGTTAGACTGATGACTTAATTAATGGTGATAAAATAGTTTGTTGACGTAGTATGCTTCAGTGTACCAGCAACTGCTGGTTTTTGTTGAACAAATCAAAAGGCTGGCAGGGACAGGGTCAGGAAGACAAAGATTACCTTCTGGGTTGATGACGTGTCAGGCATCACAATCCGCTGCTGCTTCTTGCTCTGACCTTTCTCCTCTGCTGTGGCGCCGGCGCCGCCTCTGCCGTCGTCACCATCGCCGCTGCTCGCGGCCACATGTTTCCTGCCCTCCTCCTCCTTGCCGGCCTCTGGTCGCTTGGGCTCGACGAGACGCGCCGGCACCTCCTCCGCTGCAGTCGTGTTGGTCTCCTGCTCCCACCGCGTCGGCGACACCGACCTGGGCGCGGCGGCGCCGAGGTCGCGGCAGAGGGAGGTGTAGAGCAGGAAGAAGGCGGTGGCGAGCGCGGCGCCGAGGAGGAGCGAGGTGGCCGACTTCATGGCCCCCGGGCGGGTGCCTGCTCCTAGTCCTAGCGACCGGAGCAGCAGGCCGGCTTGGTGCGGTTGCGGCCTGATCATCATCATCCGGCGGCCGGCGGCTCTATGTATATATAGTACTCCGTATAAGACAGAGAAGGAATTAATCGCTCTACGGCCTACACCGTGTCGTCATCTGTCATGTCTCATGTGCGCGAGGGCTAGGCGGCCATGGATCGCGCTGCGACTGTGCGAGCGAGCGTGGGAGGTGGCGTGGCGCGGCGGAGGGGGGGCGGCGATGGGAAGGGGGCCACGAATGATTGATCGAGGTCTCGAGGAGGAGAGGGAGCCGCGGAGGCGGAGGAGCTCGCAGATGGATCGTTTGGGTCGCTGGTTTGGAGGTCCGCGTCTGCCTGAGCCTGAGGATGCGTGTGCAAATGAATGATCGGCCCGGCCGCGCAACGGGAGGAAGCACGGCTGCGCTGGCGTAGGGTAGCTGGGTAGGTGCGCCGTGGCGTGCGTTGGCGGTGGCGGATAGTCGTCAATCGTCTTTGAACAAAACATATAGTGGCACGGAAGCGACAGCGATTGGACCATGGACATGGAACGAAGCTCATTCAGGACAGCTAACCTTTCATTAATCAGTTGCCGCTCTCTCCGATCACAGATACTCCTCGTACTTTAAAAATAAAGTCGTTTTAAATAAGACTTGAGTTCAAATATTAGAAATATAAATTATAAATAATTTTTAAGTTGTTGAGTTTGAAAATGTAAAAGACATATAAATAGATTTGTTTTAAAAAATACTTTCATAAAAATATACATATATCACTTTTTGATAAATATTTTTATAAAAATAAGAAGTCAAAATAATATTTTGGAGACCGTGTCACTGTCAAAACGACTTTATTTTTTAGTATGGAGTGAGTATATAGTTATTTTTGTAACTAGTAGTATATACACAAGTAGGAGCACCTAGCTCCGAAATGGTGACGAAATTACTAGACACATCGCTATTTGCTGGCACATTGGCTACCATTCATTCGTCCATTCCGAAAAAGAAAACGTGAGTTGAAGAGTCGTCGAACCTAAATAAATAGATATATAGGTTGTGCTACAAGAAATGCAATCACCTGAACTTGCCCCAGACATATATTATATACGTAGCCTTTACATCTCTTTTAATTTGTAACATCAGCCTGCTCGGCTGTGCTGGTTGCAGCTTATCTGCACCTGCGGATACAGAACCTCCTCTCATGGGGTTACTGTAGCAACAGCTGAAACCGCTGCGGATTCATCACTGATTTTTAGTGAAATAAGTAGGGCTCATATGTCAACAACCAATATAATTGATTCGAACCGGTCCAGCTATTTATAAGTTAGGCCAGCTAATAACTATCTAATAGGCAAAACTAGCTACCTATTAAGCTATTAGCTAGCTAACTATTAGCAGCAGCCAGCCAACTAGCTAATATTTATTATGAGCTATTACCTAGCTAGCAGCTAATGGATCTAACTAGGGCCTATGTCATCTACTAGATCGTGCTATAGTTGACACTTGTCGTTCCAACTACTCAATCTCTTCTTTTTTACATGTCACATTAATTTTGTCCTAAGTCAAATATCACTGTCTTTACCTAGTTTCAGAATTCTTAAAGTTCCGCAACATATAAATTATATATTATAAAAATATTTTTCATAGTGAATCTAAAAACAAAATATCATGAATCTATGTAATTTTTTTGAAATCAATAACCAATCAAAGATACGAATATTTGACTTAGGACAAAACTAATATGCCATGTAAATAAAAACGCCGGGAGTATCCGTGGAGTATCTAATAATGGGGAAGCAAAATTTTATATGGTAACTTAACGTCCGTCAGCAACGGATGGCAGTAGTTGATGAACCTGTGTCGTGTGACAGTCTGAGGGCCTGTTTGGAACGCAGGAATAAAAAACATAGGAATAGGAAAAAATATAGGAATGGGGTGAGTGTGTAGTGATAAAACAGAGGAAAGGAAAAACACGAGAAATAACTAGAAGGGGTATTTGGAACGCAGAAATCTATAACACAGGAAAAACGCAGGAATCACAAAAGATTACGGCCATTACTCTCATCGTTATCTCCTATGCAGTCTTTGTCCTTTTCCCAAACTGCTTTCTCTCTCACACACATTGTTGCGTGCGCCTCGGACTTCAGCAAAAAAAATGGATGGAGAGTGGAGGTTTAGATTCCTGTATTTTGTGAATCAAAGGGAGCCCTTCCTGAGGAACCGGAAGGAGCATTCCTACGTTCCAAACGACGTGTGACGTCACCAAACCAAAGGATTGCCATTCCTTCAAAAATCCTTTACAAATACTCCAATCAAACAGGCCCTGAGTGGTGGCGCGCGGGGTTGTATTTGTAATGGAGTAGGAGTGGAGCACATGCGTTCGTGATGCGTTGCTACTTGCGTTTTGATCAGCGGCCAAGTGGGACGTTCGGAGAGGCGCAGACTGGTGGAGTATACAGTGGAGTGGATGTGA